ACCTTAACATATTATGATAATGCCAACATTTGCCGAACCATTTTGTGCCATCGCCGTTACTTTCCAATCGAAACCAGTCCGAATCACTTGCTTTGTTATTGTTGATAAAAGCTATTAAAGCCTCGTATTCTTCTTTCAACCTCTAAAAAAATTATCGAAGGTCTGTAAGAAAAGGCAACAACTTTATGAACCTTGATTATGCGCCCATGTGTTTTTTGATATTTATCAAAGAAACAAGTAATCTGAATAGATTAAAAATGAGACTTTTCAATACCTAAATCAAGGAAAAAAGTAATCTTTGTTACTTTTTTCAACAGTGAGTACTGTCAGGCTGGTAATCCCTTCAGAAAACGAAATGAACGCCTCGGTCACGTGGAGTTTAATCAGCAGTAAGGCATATTAAAAACGGGTGAAAAGAGATGAACATAAAGGCAGGTAAAAGACGAGAAATACAAAAATTGTAAATTAATAAAATTATTTTAGTGGTATGAAATGTTTCGGCCCATTAAGGCGTATACATTACTTGACATTAATGCAGCACTGACTAATGCAATTCGAAAAATATATTATCAAAGATTTCATTACCTACGAAAGTTTTCAGAATGTTAATCCTAATCTATAAAGTACAGACCACCAAGAGGAAGTTTTTTCGTAGGATTTTGAAGAAGCAAATGTTAAAAAAACCTGAATCCAAAGATCGCCATCTCGCGGTCCTGCCTTTGTTCTCAGCAGAGGTATTGCTTTTAACGCATTCTTCGTCGAATCGTCTAATTCCATCACGCTATTTTATCTAAAATATAAAGTTAGAAGCATAAAATCATAGGAAAAATCAAGGTATAATGAAGTCATTTTTCAAATTTCTTGAAAACTGTAAAACATTTTTTCCTCAACGGAAATGACGAAGTAGCAGGTAACAGTACATTCATGCCAAAAACCAACAACTTCCACTACTTTGACAAAAAACCCCGTACAATTCTTTCATTCATTTCGATGATAAATTGGTACTGGCGCATATCAAGGAGTTAATCAACTTA